AATCCAGAAATGCAGAGCTAGACAAATTTGGTCCCAATTCTGAAACACATGTACAACTGTATTGTATGTGGAAAAGGCTTTAATGCGAAGCCCCTTTCTTAATTAATGCAGTAAAATCAGTAGGTTAAATAAATCTGATGTATTTGGAAAAGGGAATACAGGAAAAAATTAAAAGGTAACTAACGACCATTCTTTTATTTCAAGAATTTGAAATAAGAACAGTAGAATATCGTTTAGTTAAGTTCACTTGCTGAAATAAGATTTGAGGTTTCAGCATCTTTTTTCACACTACAGGAAAAAATGGTGATTGAAGAGAGACAACTGGGTCTCTTGCTCAGATGTTGTTAGACAGGCCATCCTGCTATTGTTACTTCCTCTTCGGCTAGCCTCAGTTTATACAAAGTAGAAGAAAATCATCTCTCCTGTGCAACATTTGTATTATTGAATGTTATTGGTCCAGTGATATTCCATCTCTGATGTTATGGACAAACCTATTAAATCACAAAATTATCTAGTGGCTGCATCTGCCTTTCTAGTGACCATTATTGGAATGATAAAGGCATCAACCAGTCTTTACTGTTTCAACCCTATATTAAAAAGGCGTCAGGTCCACATATGAAGGCTCAAGTTAACTAATTTATCGCTAAAAGCCCCCACACAGGAATCTTCTGTGAATGGCAGTCAAAGTGGAGGGTGGATTTAGTTCATTGGTGGCTATGCAGTGATTCTAGGTTGATCCCTCTTTTCACTCCTCCCTCTGTCTTGCCAGGCCTACTTCTATATCAGGTTTATATGGGAAGAAATGTTTTCTAGGAACAAAAGATAAATTCTGTCTATTCAGGCCTCTCAGAATGGGAATTAATTTACAAGATATTTTTAAGAGGCCAAAAACACGAAGATTGTCATATTATTTAGCCTAATGTGGGAACCCATTATGAACACTTATCTTCTACTCTAGCAAAGGATGCCTGCATCCAAACTCTGCAGCAACTCACTGAAGCTCTTTACTTCTTACCACTAAATCCTGCAGATGACTGAACATTTGTCATCACTAATATGAGGGAAACTCTCCTCTCCTCTCATCCTTTGCTTCAGCTTTTCTCCATTTTTAGTTCTTTGGCACTTCTTTTTTGTGATGCTATGCCACAACAGCTGAGCAACCGGTTGACAACTCATCTGCCACCACTTGTCTCCAGAGAGGACTTCTTGAGGTGACTGCTGATTGATTGCCAGGCAACTCTTCTGACCAGACATGGGGCAGAATTAAAATGGCTCTGAGCTAGCCGAATACAATGTACTACATGAATATAAGAATGTAAGAAAAGGAACGCTAAAGGAAGGCTCTAGTAAACTATAGAAAGAGAACAGGCGGATAAGAACACGAGACAGGTAGCTAAAAAGATAAAGCAATCAAATAAATGGAATAAGCATAAAAGAGAAAAATACTAAGACAGGAAACAGTGAAATAAACCAGAAGTTTTGAATAGATCTTAGAAGATTGTCAGCTTTTAGAAATCTATTGTAAATATGAAAGCAATGGGTGGCCTTTTTAAACAAAGGTAGCCTTTCTTTTATAATACAGCAACATACTTTTATAATAAAAACACTTTTTAAAAGAATTGGCATCTCTTATGTTCTGCCTCAGTTTGTCACCACTGTATGAATCCACAACAATATGCTTTTGGTGTGTGCGTGTGTGTGTGTGTTTGTTTGTTTGTATGTATTTTAGTCTACTGTTTCAGCTAATGGCAATGGTGTAAAATACAACCGTAAAAATCAATTTCAGTTGAACAAAATATTATCATAAATTCTTAAACTTTGAGCAAAATAGAATATCCTTTCCTCAACACTGGGCATTACATAATAAAATGATGCAAGAACAAGGAAGAGACGAGAACAGGACCTCAGAAATATGCTGCCAATATTCAAATAAAATGAAAGGCTGAAATGATCCCATGAAAAGGAGATTGGAGCTAGAAACTGAATGTTTATGTAGTGTTGCTTCTGAATACCCAAAACATAGCAACCAAATTCAGTCATTCTGTCAACAGTTTCAACCAAATAATTCTGTGTGGGTTGCTGTTTATCTAAGATGTTCATTGCATGGGAATGTTTCATAATAAAACAACATATAAATATTGAAATACAATAAATAACAAAGGATTCAGATTACTAAAGTTCTGGTGAGAATTCCTGGTGCGTACAAACTGATTAGGGAGGCTGTATTAGCTTGAAGAAGGACAAAGTATCCCATACAAGGGGCAGCTGAGTATTTCCCAAGTTTAATTATTCTGAAACTGATTTAACATTTACACCTACACAACCATACACTCATAGGATTACGATACATACATTCATCTCAATGGTATTTCTTTTATTAAGCTGAACGTGTAGGTCTCACTATTACAAGATGATGTTGGAACAACTAACTTGGCAAGATCCGCATTCTGGCAAACCTAAGACAGACTAAGAACGACATCAATTCTGAGCTCTGCCAATACAGCAATTACAAAGGCATTTTGTTCACCTGTTCCAATGGTACAGCCTGATGGATTGTATACCAGGAAATCCTCCTCCTCCTCCTGCTAGTATAGCATCTCAAAAGGTATTCAGCTCTGGTCAATGGAAACAGACTTAAAGCATCCATATATTGGTTGCACCCAAAAAGTGCCATTGATATCCTGGCTCTTCACAGGAGCTTGCAAGGTTAATAACAATTTTAAATTAATGTCTTTTTAAATGGCAATAAGTTATCCCATTTTTAACTTGGGGGGAAAAAGAGATCCCAGCTTCATTATTAAAGGGGTTTACTTAAAAAATGCATGAGAATGGAGAAGCAAATACTATCCCCACCATCTAGGAGGACCTGGAAGTATAGATCTCTCAGCGAGCTTCATCTTTATAGTTGGCAAGATCCTTGCTAAGCAGTGTGATTGGCTAAGCATGCTACAATTAACAGGTGTCAGCATGGGTTTGTCATATCTAAATTATTGCCAGACTAACCTCACCTTTGATAATTATAGATTATATATATATGAAGAAAAAGCAAAGGGCATAGAAATAGGCAGGGGTGAGCTTCAAAAACGTTAGCAGTGGGTTCTCTGCCTGGTTGCTGGGGGAGCATGGCGGGTAGGGCCTAGTTAGCCTCCTGCACCACAGCAGGGGGGGNTGAAAGTAAAATATACTTTATAGGGATGTGGTGGCTCAATGGTAAGACACTGAGCTTGTCGATCAGGAAGGTTGGCAGTTCAGCGGTTTGAATCCCTAGCGTTACATAACCGAGTGAGTTCACGTTACTTGTCCCAGCTTCTGCTAACCTAGCAGTTCGAAAGCATGTAAAAATGCAAGTAGAAAAATAGGGACCACCTTGGTGGGAAGGTAACAGCGTTCCGTGCGCCTTTGGTGTTTAGTCATGCCGGCCACATGACCATGGAGACGTCTTCGGACAGTGCTGGCTCTTTGGCTTTGAAACAGAGAATAAGCACACCGCCCCCTAGAGTCGGGAATGAGTAGCACATATGTGCAAGGGGAACCTTTACCTAAAATATTCTTGCAAAGAAGACACTCTCCAATATCTGGTTCTAAAATACTGAATTTCACCAACATTCATATATTTGCCTTTTATCAACTGATTTACAACCATCACAGCGTCCTGCAGTTGTGTGATCAAAATTTCAGCACTTGGCAACTGGTATGTAGTTACAATAGTTGCAGGATCCCAAGGTCACGTTATTACCCTTTACAAACTTCCCGGGGGGGCTTCCCACAAGCAAACTCAGTGGGGAACTCAGATTTGCTTAATCGCTGTTTGATATGACCATGGCAAAAAAGGTTGTAAAATTAAGAGCATTTCACTTAATGATGGCATTACTTAGTGATGGAGTTCTGGTCCCAGTTCCTAATTAGACAGGTAGCCCCTGACACCATTTTTTAAATGACAGTTTAAAGATACGACAGTGATTTTAAAAAAGTTGTTTCCAACCACTCCTCGCACTAATGCAGCATTCCTGCAGTCATGGGATTCAAGCACTTGGCACCCAGCATGTATTTATGATGGCTGGAGCATCCTGGGGGCAAGTCATTGTCATTTGTGACCTTCCCAACTAGCTTCTGACAAACAAGTCAGTGGGAGAAGCAAGATTCTCTTAATGATTTGTTTAATGGCTGTGGGGGGGCGGGGAAGGTGATAAAATTGGGTGTGGCTCACTTAACAACCACATAACTTAGTGACAGAAGTTCCACTGTCAGTTGTGATTATAAATCAAGAACTGTCAGTATTGTAGAGTATAATTTCGGGTTTCTAAAACTAAATGGCTTTGGTGGATTTTGACAACATTATTTTGTCCAGAATAAAAATCAACAGGCTAATGTTGTCAAAGAAAATATAGTAACTATCTGTATTTTCATAGCTTGTGTGCTGATTACATACATACTTGTCTTCTAAGGCTGATCTCTAGTGAAGTCTGCTAAGTATCCGAACTTTATATAATTTTTTAAAATGAACTAACTACAGAGATTACTACGTACTGTAGATGTAAAAGCATTTAGATTCTCTTTAGTATCGCATTATAATCTCATTTGTATGCTATGTTTTGGATTGCTGCGGTTTCTTTTTTGGAGGGAAGGTTGTATCAGTTATGGATTTATGTATTTATCTAGTTATTTACAGGGTTTATAAGCCACATAAATTGAAGCTAGTTCTGAGCAGTGTCCATCTCAATGTTTTATAGATTGAGTTAAAACAAATAATGCACATTACATTACTACAGTTTAGTTTTTTCTGTCCTTTCTTCTGTGTTTTCTAAACTTGAGGATAACCATGCTATATATATCGTAAATGCATATATAGGTTGTACCAATTATTTCCTCTGTATGTTTAGCATTGAAGGAAATTTATCCCCCCAAGATTCATGGTTTTGTCTTAGCATTTTTGGATTATGTCTATGTTATTTCAAGTCATTCTGCTGATTTTTTTCCCTACTCTTTCCATTTTCCTGTAGGTTTGAACAACAAAAAATAATGATGATTGTAGTAACTGGAGCCATGTCAGTGCCTGAGTCAGAATTCCCTGCCAGCACCCCTGCCACAGCCCCTAATTTATCCAGGATGCCTGAGGATGGCAGCCTCACCGCAGTGGAGCAGCCAATATTTCTAATGACAACAGCTGCCCAGGCCATCTCAGGTTTCTTTGTGTGGACAGCTGTGTTGATCACCTGCCACCAGGTAAAACAAACAATTTAACATTTTGAATTGCTCTCCATCAACTTCATCATCTAGTAGAGAAGAAGCTTGTTTTCCAAAGTGTTGTTTTTCCATTAACACAGGGCTGTCAAACTTGCGGCCCATGGGCCGCATGCATCACGTGCTGGCCACGCCAATGCCCAATTTAGCGAAGGGGAAAAAAGTCGCAATACATCACATGACGATGCCATGACGACACGAGTTTGACACCCCTGCATTAACATATCCCAGTCTCCTTTCAGCTATAAGCACTGCTGTTTTGCATGATGTAATGATCTGCAGTATATATAAGCAATCCTCAACTGAGACCGTTCTAACATATGTAATCCCCTTAGGCTCCAAATAAAAAATTGAGGCCGGGGATGGGGGTTAACAGAGTACCTGCCAACACGACCACATGTAACAACCACATTGTGGACTTACAACCCCAGAATTTCTGTTGTAAGTTGTTGTAATGGTAAGTCAAGTTGCACCCAATTTTATAACAATTATATACCAGTCATTAAGCAAATCATCATGGTCATTAAAAGAATCAGGTTCCCCAATTAACATTTTTTTTGGCCAGAAATAGGCCAAAACAGTTGCAAATTGTGATCGCTGGATACTGCAACCAGTTGTAAATGTGAGCTGGTTGCCAAGTGCCCAAATTTCAGTCATGTGACTGTGGGGGTGATACAATGATCCTCCATACAAGTATAGATAGAAAGCCACTTTTTCCAAGTCCATTGTAATTTTGTAACTCTCATTAAATGATTGAGTGTAAGTAATGACCTCTATGTGCAAACAGTCATAGGGTGTGAAACTAGCTGCCTCTTTTGGTCTAGCCCTCTTTTGGGCTATCATATAGCCAATATAGATTTAAGGCATGCCCATCTACCTAGTGGTTAGCATAGTTCTGTGTTAGCCCATTGTTACCGTGGGCTGAGGGGATTTTTAAAGGGCCATGTCCATCCACTGAATAACAGGTTCCATTTTAGCAACCAAGAAGCTGATAGACGAATCTTTTAAGCAAGATTTTATTGCATAGGGACTGTTTTATTGTACTCACAGATCTCTTGTCAAAACAAAGGGCTACAAAGCATGCTGTTTCTCTTTCCTCCTCTTCCTCTACTGTGTTTTTTGTTCTGCATTCTTTCCCAAGCTATCCTGTCTGCAATTTAAAACAAAGGCATTGCTTCACAAATATGTTTTATATGACTTGGATTTTGAATTATATTTTGGTTGAACAGCTTTCCTGGAAGTATGGAAGGGTTACTGCTTCTGTCTTGTTCCAAATCCTCTGCACTTTTAAGAGAAAGTAGGTCACTGTAATTCAGAGTGATATAACTTGACTTTGAGCACTGATAAACTCACGGCAATCATTGTAGGACAATTTGTTTTTTTAATAAACAGCTCTTCTCTGCCAGTGGATGTATGATTCTTTAAAGGAGAATTTGAATGTTTTAAAATGAAAACTGTTTATATTTTGTTTTATATCTAGGAGGTTTCTTTGAGATATATGTTTAATTTTTAGTTCAAGTTATGTGAGTATTCTTTTGATTGAATGCATAATTTAAATACCTAATTTTAATTTATTTTATAGTAACTCTTCTGCAATGTTAAATTTAGAGGTGGAGAGGCTGCAAACTTGATACGCATTGAGTCTCCAAATTCTCTAAGCTGGTCCTGTCTCCAACACTCTTTTCCTTAATGAACAGGTGTAACCATCCTTTTGGGATAAACCAAAAAAAAGTATTGAAAAAGAGCATGGGGCTTTTTTTCCTTTAGTTGCAATACAAATGATTATTGATGATAATTTCTTAAAAATAAGGGTACTGACAATTTCAAGACTAATGCGACTCAATAGTGTATAAGAGAAATAAGGTTTAAAATTGTGCAGATATGCCAATGGGAATTGAAATGGCTAGGAAGCTAGGTGTATTTTTTCCCAGCTTGCTTTTTAATTGATTATGCCCACTTCTTTTCAAAAAAGGAATATAAGCAGTAATTTATAGGGAAAAGTGAAGCAATATGAAATTTACAGAAAATCAAATGTCTCTTTTAGGTTTTAAAACAATGAGGCAAATTGTCATTTCAGCCCTGGAGACATTTAGATAAGGTTAAGATACAGTAAGGTAGGATAAGATTGGATAGAATAGGCTAACTTTTATTGACACTACGTACCTACATACGTACGTACGTACATATAGATAGATACACACACACACACACACACACACACACACAAACACACATATACATGTATATATTAATCACAATCCATTATGAATACATAGCAGGAAAAAAAGTATTCTAGAATTCTTCATCATCTGTGGTATATAAGCAATGCACTTCACTCATGATAATATGTTTGGCTAATTTAGGAATTTTATACATTTAATTATATAGGGATAGGTGGAAGGATGAGATGATGATGAAAAACTGTGATTCATAAGGTTTAATAACCCTTTGGCATTATCTTCCCGCTTTGTACCTCTGTTTGGTCTCAGTACACGGAATAAATAGCAATGTTTGATTCTTTCTTCCCATTCTATCTGTCGTCATCATTATGACTAATTTCACTGCAGTGAAAAGAAGAGATATATCCACTTTTGCCCCATCTTAGCCTTTGTACCATAAAGTCTAGCTGCTGACTTTTATCAGATACCAACGCAAAACAAATGTGACTTTCTCTTTTGCAATATTATACTTACATAGGTAAACTCTGCCATTTAGCAATCTTGTTGAGCACTTTTTAATTATTAGATAGTGACTATCAGTTATAGAACTTCTGCATGCGATTGAATCAACTCGTGGATTAGGATTCAGGAGTGGATTACTCTCAGGCCCAAAACCAAGAATGGCCTTCAGTAATTCTTCCAAGATGAGTTATTTATTGTTTCACACCTATAGACATCTTGCCAGACTGAGAACTTCACTTACATGTATAATATGTGAATTATTAGGGAGGGGTTCTTACCTCATGTTACCTGGACTGAATTACAATTTACTCCTTTGGAATGTACTCCTTCCCTTCTGGGGATCCATCTGGCTAAATTCCATCACATCTATTCATCTTGTTAATTCTACTTCAAAATTTGATCAGGTCCTAGGATCATAATTCTTAATAGAATTCTAGAGTACAGGAACAGGGAATTCCTGTTCCATTATCTGTCTACTGTTACAGAATTGCTACAAAAGGTTGGCATGGGCACTGATCTAACAGTTTTTAAAGACATTCATGGATCCGTATATAGTTTTCAGATGTGATCTTATAGGTAATGAGTCTGTAAAACTATGTACTTTCTGATTGCCAGATGCTACTGTGTTTCCCTGAAAATAAGACAGGGTCTTATTTTCTTTTGACCCCGGAAATAAGCGCTTGGCCTTATTTTCGGGGAGGTTTTATTATTTTTGAGGTGCAGGAGGCGGTGAACGTGGTCACCTCATGGCTGCTGCTGTGTTGCAATATTTTTGAGGAGGGCTTATTTTCAGGGAGGGCTTATTTTAGCGCATGCACTCAAAAACCCAATTGGGCTTATTATTTAGGGAGATCTTATTTTCAGAGAAACAGGGTAGGAATAAGGAAAAAAAAAAACTATTTGCTTCCAGTTTGTAAATTTTTTAGTTTGTAAGTTCTGTTAGCTGTCCATGGAAACAAAATGATACTTTTAACCAGACAAAATAAATTTACTATGCAAAAAAACCGATATGGAACTGCTGTATGATATATGATGGAACTTTTCGTTCCTATGTTGTCTTAAGTCATGTGTTTGTTCTTGTTGATGTGTTTATGTGTGTAAAATAAAAACTTAAAATTTTTTTTACTATGCATTTATTTTGCATGATATTGTTATATTAATTATATTCTAATTAAAGGGTTATATCAAAGTTTTCCTTTGAACTGTTTGAAGCAATAATTGAACATTTTCATCATGAGTTTTGTACTTTTAACGGAATTGACATGAAGTTTCAAAGAGTTTCTTTTTTCAGTAGTTTCTGTATTGAAATACTTGGTACTTTGCTGACTAGAAAAACATTCAGTCCGGGAAAAGCCTATTTCAGGATTACAATTAATAATAAACATTTTCCAACCAGTCCAAATATTAACTTGCAGTGGAAGTGTACTGTTAAATTAAACACAGAATTTTAGACATATTTTTAAAATTATTTTAAAAGTTGCATTTTTTGGCTTTTGAAAGCATGAAGTACATTGAAAGTATGAAGTACATTGGAAGCATAATTGACTTATAATGCCTACTGCAATTTTAATTTTTGTATTATAGCATTTCCTGTTTTTGGTTTCCAAAAACATACTAGGATTGTGATGGTAATCACATGATACAAAGCATTGCCACAACACAAATATGGGAATGACCTTGTGTATGCAATGTGCATTTGTGTTATAGTACTACCGTATTTTTCGAAGTATAAGATGCACCTTTTTCCCTTACAAAAAGAGGCTGAAAACCTGGGTGCGTCTTATACACTGAATACAGCATTTTTTGCCTCCCGAAGCCCCGCCCCCTTCACAAAAATGGCTGTGCAGAGCCTGTAGAAGGCTTTCAGAGAGCTCCTGAGGCTGGCGAGGGCAGAAATGAGTGACAAACGGGTCATTTTTTGCTCAATTTCCCCCCCCCTTCCCCAGCCCCCAGGAGTACTCTATAAGCCTCCTAAAGGCTATGCATGCAATTTTTTTGACAAAAAATGGGCCCGTTTTTGCAAAATGTGGCTTTTTTTGCTCGTTTTGGGGGGGCACCCCCCAGGAGCACTCTGAAAGCCCCCTAAAGGCTATTCATGCCTTTTTTGGGGGGGGAAAAACGGGCTGTTTTTTCAAAATTTTCCTCTTCAAAACCTCGGTGCGTCTTATACTCTGATGCGTCTTATACTCTGAAAAATACGCTATATTGAAACTGCATTGTATTTTAGATAGTGATTGATCAGGTTGTAAACTGTATCTAATTAATCTGATAGTGAAGCTGATTGACTTTACTATCCTTATCTTTTATTAGAAGACAGAATTTTGTGACTAATCATAGATTGTATCCTATTAGATTAAAAAGATTTACTTTGAGATTAAAATTAACCCCCAATGGAAAATGATCTCATTAAAATTCACATTCCTGTTTTTGTAATATGGAATTAGCAAACTTCCTGTTTGTAGTATCACTGGAATTTCATTGAAAATAAAATTTACATCTTCATGTTATATGAACTGCAGGACAATTGTTTTTTTTTATTATATTAAAGTTATTATGGAGAATATAATTGAAATAATTTTGAAACATGTTATATACTTATTAATTATTCTATAAATTAATATCACAGGTTATTTTCTAAAATAACAATAGAAGGTAATATGATGTATGTCAGCTTCAGTTCCTAGAGAAAAAGCAAAATCTAACTATAATCGATGAAGGGAAAATTTTCAGTGAACGCATCTGACTAAATTATTATCTTTCAATATAAGAAAGCTAGGGAAAAATATTCTTGTTTGAGGTGTCCAGTTCTTTGAGTTTTGCATTGATTTTTTTTAGTCCATGATTGGATTCTGATCCCAGCCTCCATTTTCTCTTATTTAGATCTACATGCACCTTCGCTGCTACAGTTGCCCCAATGAGCAACGCTATATTGTCAGGATCCTTTTCATCGTTCCCATTTATGCTGTTGACTCATGGCTCAGTCTCCTTTTCTTCACCAATGACCAATACTATGTTTATTTTGGGACAATACGGGATTGTTATGAAGGTAAGGTGTTTGAAAGCCTGGGAAGTGGGGGAAAGGAAGGAATGGTCACCATATTAAAAATGATGTTGTTTCGCTTACATTTGATTCTGTGAAAGTACATGCAGCTTCTGACCAAGATAGTAGGATATCCATAAGCCCCCCCCCCACCCCCTCCTGAGTGCATCACCTATTGATAATAAATTTCTGGGTTCCAGAATTGAAGTTCTCTGAAGTAGCCAATTGAGATATTGGGAGAAAGGGCTTTGTTTTATAGATAAGGTTTGTGGTATTCTACAATAGAGAAAGCGATGTGTTGATATTTCTCATTATGTAGAAAAGGAAGTTAGATATAAACTGACAGATATTCTAGATTCTCTGGGTGCAGGATAGAACTCCATTGTACATGCAGCTGAAAGGCACTTGTTTCTGGGGGCTGGCTGCAAACACCCCATGGGGCAAATATTTCATGCCAAAATCCTGCTTGGATTTCAGGATGAACTTTTTCCCGCTACTCTGTAGAAACTAGAAAGAGTCCTGTTGTCCCTGAGGTCTGGCTGCAAACACCCCATGCTACAAATAGCTTGTGTCGAAATCCTGCCTGGATTTAACATAGACCTTTTTCAGCCAACCCTCAGAAATCAGAGGGAATTCTCTCAGTAGGCAGTAGCAACTTGGGACTTCCCTGTTAGCTTCCCCATTGACTTTCTGGGGAAGCCGTCGGGTAAGATATCAAATGGCAATCACATGATTGCAATCCATTGTAAATGCAAACTAGTTGCCAAGTGTTTTGATCACAATCACATAAATGTGAGGACACTGCAACTGACATAACTTTGGGCACAGTCCTAAGTCTTTTCATTCAGTGCCATTGTAATTTTGAATTACAGTATCACTGAATATATCATGTTTAAGTGAGGAGTATCTGTTCTTATATGTAGCATTCTTTTAAGTACTTGAAGAATGCTATCCTTTAATCATCTTTTCTTGAAATTAAAAATAACCAATTCTTTCCAGTTCTCTTTGTGGATCTTAGCTCTAGTCCCTAATCATTCCCACTGCCTTTCTGAGAATTTGTTCCAATGAATCCTTCTTTAAAAGTGTGTGCCAAATTAGAGCAGAATCAAGGGGAACAATTCTTTCCTAATTTAGAAATATATTGATGCAGTATAGAAGTGATTTTTTCCTTCTTTGGAAATCTTAATACACTACTGGCTTATGTTCCAAGATCTTTTTTCACAAGTACCATTATTAACAAGATAACCCAATCTTTTATCTTTACATTTAATGTTTGTTTCTTAAGTGAAGAATTTTACAAAATTTCATCTTTTTAGGACATTTCTCCAATGAATGTATGAATTATTTATTTATCAAATTTAGAGACCATCCATCTCACTCACAGAGCAAGAGTAATATGATTTTAGATATTCCATCACATTTTACACTTAACTGCAAATGTTATGAGCATTTTCTCCATTAACATTGTACCTATTTATTGGGATCATGTCCTGCCTTTCATTTCAGCAGGCTCCTATATTTTGTTAAAATAGTAACCCTGTGAATTAGGTGGGCTAAAAGGGAGTGGCTGGCCCAAAACCCCAGTTTTTTATTTTTGTTTTGTTTTGTTACGGTCTGCATGTGCAAGATTGTAAACAAACTTTTGCCTTTTTTTTTTTTATTAAATGTTTTTTTAGTTTTAGTTTAAAACTGGTACAACATCTTTCTTAATATATCAATCAATTACAAATAATACAGAAAA